AGAAACCTTAAAACACTTATGCAGCCTTCTCTAAAATCTTCTCTATAAAAGAAAGGTAGTTTTTTTTTTGTCAGTGCTTGGGTTTCTTATTTATTGTGGGATTGTGGCATAGAAATATTTGATATCTCTGTGTATTGATGAATTGAACATTATCTCTTCTGACTGTTAAAAATCATTTAATGATCCCAGATGGCATTCCCTCTAAATTGCACTTCAATGGATTGGGCTGGAATATTTTTTCCTTTCAAATTTCTTAGAAATGCTGCAGTTATTTGACTCTGGACAAATAGCATGATGGCAGGAAAAAGTATTTTCAACTTTTAAAGACTTTTAATTTTGAATAATTATCATTATAAACAATCTTCATAATATAAGTCAATCACAGAGGCAATGAGTCACTGTGACAGTTTTATGGTTACTTTTTCGTTAATTCTGTACTTTGTATGTTATAATAATTAAGCTTGTCTTCCAAATTAGCTTGAAATATTTTCTTTAATTTCACATTAATATTTCCTCATCTTCTATAGGGTTATTGATTAAAAGATCTGATTAATGCCAGCAGACACGAGTTACCATATTTAGATTTAGAAAATAGATTCATAGTTAGAAAAGATACATTTTATGATTGTTAATTGAATATTTTGTCAGCACTATAAAGCAAGGAGGTTAAGGAGAAAATTGCCCATTTTCTTTAAACAAACATGGAGAGTATTTTCTTATTAGTAATTGCTATCAGGGTTTTCTGTCCTGCCCAGTTCCCACAATCATTGAGTCCCAACGAAATCACACAGAGGTCTACATTAACTATAAACTGATTGGCCCATTAGTTCATGTCTTTTTTTAACTCTTATAACTTGTATCATTATTCTTATCTGTGTTAGCCACCTAGCTTAGTACTTTTTTCAGCAAGGCAATCACATCTTGTTTTTTCTATGGCTGGGCTAAGACTGTGGAGGAATGGGTTTCCTTCTTCCCAGAATTCTATTCTCCTTTACCTCTACTTCCTGTCTGGTTGTCCTGCCTATACTTCCTGCCTGGCTAAAATGCTCTGGCTCTTCTCTCCTTTACCTCTACTTCCTGTCTGGTTGTCCTGCCTATACTTCCTGCCTGGCTAAAATGCTCTGTCTCCTGGAAGAGCCAGAGATCATGCTAGCAGCATAACCCAGGAAGCTGGCATTTTAAAACTGTGCAGCTTTTTTCCTGCTGTGGCTCCTGAGTCAGGAAAATCTGTCTTAAAGGAACTATGGGATACTGCCAGCAAACAGCAAAAAGCTGTGTTAAACCCTCTCTCTCTCTCTCTCTCTCTCTCTCTCTCTCTCTCTCTCTCTTTTCTTCTAGAATTTCTTTTTCAAGTCCTCTCAGGTTTTACATAGATTTAGTTAACCACATTGGAGGCATCAATTTTTGGAGCAGGGAGAAGGACTCTTGTTTGTCCCAGCCACCTGAAATAACCACACAGAAACTGTATTAATTAAAATACTACTTGGCCATTAGCTCTAACTTCTTATTGGCTATCTCTTACATATTATTTAAACACATCTCCATTACTGGAGATTCTAACCGGCATCCATCTTCAGAAGAGGATTCATGGGTTCTTTGACACTGCCCTTCCTCCCAGCATTCAGTTCTGTTTTCTCTGCCTACCTAAGTTTTAAGACCAAGGCAGTTTTTTTATTCATTAACCAATGAAAGCAACACACAAACAGAAGGAACTCCTACACCACATAATAATTTTTATCTTGGTATTATTTTCTTAAAAAATATTGCACATTTTATTCAAATTTTCTTTTCTTATACAATAAACTATTGGTTTACATATTAATAAAACACTAATATAAGAATTAGAATATCTTTATCAACAGCAATTCTTTTATCTTGAGCTAATGTTGTTACTTCCCTTGTTGGATCCACAGTGGCCTTGATTGTGGTCAGTAGTTCTCCCAGTAACAGAATGCCATGTAGCCTGTGCCCTAACACCAGAATTAATATTTGCATAACAAACACAGCTTCATGTTATAAGAGGCTCGAAAATATTGATATTATGGAGTCAAGGTAATGTTGGATGAGGACGCTGTTTTGTTCCCGGCTGCAGGGCTAGCTTAGCCCAGAAATAATCACACAGAAACTGTATTACTTAAAACACTGCTTTGCCCATTATCTCTAGCTTCTTATTGGCTAACTCTTATATCTTAATTTAACCCATTTCTATTAATCTGTATATCACCATGAGGTTGTGGCCTACCAGCAAAGTTTCAGCATGTCTATCTTCAGCAGCAGATCCATGCATCTCCCTTACTCTGCCTTTTTCCTCCCAGCAATCAGCTTAGCTTTCCCTGCTTACCTAAGTTCTGCCTTGCTATAGGTCCAAAGAAGTTTATTTATTCATTAATGGTAATCACAGCACACAGAGGGGAATCCCACATCAGGGTAACTCTTAATATATGGAAGTCCTACACTTTACTACAACAAACATGTCTTGCAAAATAAATACCCACTAGTTCTTTGTTTCTACTGTAGGCAGAATCCAGTGCTAAGTGTTTTTCATTAAATGTAGAAATCAAATATTTGTTGATTTATGAGTATAAATAAAAAATCTGATTATGAAAGAGTGTGTGTTTAGATCAGTTGTAATTGCTTAGAAATGGCAATAAATATACGTACAAATTCAAATAAGGAACCTGTTATATTGTTGTTAATTGGCTTCATAAAAATTATCCTTTAAATCCTGGCTGTAATTTGCTTAATTATCTATTTATTGCCTCCAGTAAATAGTTCACAGAAATAAATGACAATTAAAGGCACTCATCTCAGAAGTCATCACTCTCATATAAATTTCCTCTTAATCACCTGACCTATTTTTATTTAAGACAACTGCTTGAGGCTAGCAAGTTAATTTAACCTTCCTGTGTTTTGTCAGTCTGAAAGCCCAACTTTCTTTTAAACTAATTCAAAATGACTTATTTATATTTCTTGTTAATAAATGTATGTACCGTTTAATAATTTTTTGTCTGAAGAAACACATAAATAAATCTATGTAGACAATGAATGGTTCTCCAAGTGCTGATGCTAATCATTGCAGGGTATTCAAAAAATAAACATCATGGTTTGTGAGCACTGATTTTCAAAATTACTACTAAATTCCACTGAATATTTTGTAGCTTGAGGGCGTTGCCACATAGACGAGTAAAATTGAGAAAATATTGAGACTGACAGATTTGGCCCTCTGTAGCAAGAAAGGTAACCAGTGAAGACTCACACAGCCTTTTAATATTGGTGAGGAATATGAGAGGTCAGAAAGGGAAAGTGTTCAAAGCTTACAATGGTAGAAAAGTGAACCAAACAAACATGGCTCACATAAACATCTACCACAAGGAGACTTTTCTTTATCAAGTTCTCTGGAAGACATGAAGTGTAGTAATGGGGCGGCGGGGCTGCGTTCCCAGCACCCCGGCTGCCTGCTCGGCTAGCTTATGCTCCGAAATAACAACACACAAACTGTATTCATTTAAACACTGCTTGGCCCATTCTCTTCTAGGCTAATTCTCACATATTAATTTAGCCCATTTCTAATCATCTGTGTGTAGCACCCCAAGGTGCGCTTACCGGGAAGATTCTAGCCTATGTCCATCCTGGGTCGGAGCTTCATCCCGGGAGCAGGGCATGGCGTCTCTCTCAGGCGTCTGCTAGCGAGAGGAGAGCTGTGAGTCTGAGCTCACTTCCTCTTCCTCCCAGCGTTCTGTTCTGTTTACTCCTCCCACCTATCCTCTAACCAATAAAATGGGCCAACGCAGTTCCTTTATTAGCCAATGACCTTCCTCCATCAATGAAGGATCTTCTTGCAATTCTTGTTCTGTAGTGTCTACTTTGTGAATACTTTGTTTCTCAACTAGAAGCTATTGAAATAAAGACTAAATTATCCTCTACATGTTATAATTTGGATTTTACGAATAGTGTTTAACATACTATGTAGAGCTATTTTTCATTGCAAAAAAGAACATTGCAATTATTCTGGTAAATCTCATTAAAGGGAAGTTTAAAAAGGAGCAAAGAACCACAGTCACCATCAGATATGAGACTGTAGTGAATGAGCTTTAATTATAAATTATATCACTTTGTAACCATTTAAAATGCTGACCATTTAGGTGCATTTTTGATAGGATATGCAAAGATTAGATATACCATCTGAAGGTACATGAGAAAGCCCTAATGACAACATACAAATCAAAGTAGATGAGACAATGGAAATATCTATGTGGTTGTCAGTAAAATTCAACTATCAACAAGATAAATGAATATTGTTACCAAAACAGAAAGGATGGAGGAATAAATAAATATTTAAAAGATCCCCATGTGAGTCAGTCTGGAAGCAGTGTGTTACAGACTTTGTCTCCTTTGATACCCATTCTATAGGTTTCAGTGTTTGTCATAACTGGCTCTCAGTAGACCCTTACTATTTATCTTCTCAACTCTGTATTCAGGGACTTCACAGTGTACATTTAAACTAGTTATTGAGGAATGATTCACCATTTAATTTGCATCTTGGAATAGTTAACCGTTTAGAAATCAGCAAAAGTTAGAAATCAAGGCCTTTTCCCTTACTTTCTGAGAGTAAGGCTGTTGTGCACTCACCGTCAAACTCTTTATTAGCTTTAAATAATAATAATAATATTATATACAAAATATATTCTAACTCTAAAGGCCTAGAGCAAGGAAAACTATGTTAAAAATTTTACTGAATTTAAAGTCTTTTATATAGTTGGGCAGTTTTCAAAGGTTCATAATATCTTTAGATTGTACCCATGAAATATTTAGTTAACTCATTAATTTATATTTATATAACTTATTTCAAATTAAATTTTTATGATTTTGTAAGAGGATTTTTTGTTACAATTCATAATAGATATATTATGATTGAAATAGTAAAATGTGATTCACTACTAAATTTAAGGTCTCTTTAGAACAATCCTGTATAACATAAAGCATTCTGTGTTACTTTGCAGTGAGGCCCACAGTAATTGAAACTGATGTTTATGTAAACAGCATTGGACCAGTTGACCCAATAAACATGGTGAGTATAGCCTGTTACAATACAGATTCCTGAGTGTGTGCCTTCTAGAATAAGGAAGTGTGTGATTTAAGATAGTTTATCATGAAGCATTTTTTTTAAGATTGCAATTATTATTGTACTGGTTAGTTTGCCAATTTGACACAAAGCAAGATCATCTGAGCAGAGAGGACCTTCATTGAGATAAACTGACTCTATCAGATTGACCGTATGCAAGTATGTAGGGAATTTTCTTAATTAATGATCAATGTTGGGGGACCAAACCCACTTCCCACTTTGGGCAATGCCACATCTAGGCAGGTGTTCCTGGGTTGTACAAGGAGTAGGATGAGCAAGCTATGGAGAACAAGGTAGTAGCCAGAAATCTTCCATGATCAAGGATCAAATTTCTTCAACAAAGGTTTTACGCTTTCTAAGTTACAGATGCGACTTTTCTCAATGATGGACTGTGACCTGTGAGAAAATAAACACATTCTTTATCAAGCTGAATTTGTTTGTGTGGTCTTTATTACCACAATAGAAAACATACTAGGAAAACTGTGTCAAGCATTGGCCAGTGGAACTAAAACACTCTTTATGGAAGAACTAGTAGTTTCTTATTGCAATGGATTGCATTTATAGTGCATAAATAATTACCATTAGTTCTATCAAAAGTCAATCTCTGAAGAAATCTGAGAGAAGAAAAATTAGGAAGCTCAATGGAAAAGGATTCTGAGATTGAAAAGGCATAGTACGAAAAAAACAAATAAAAGGGACATAGTTTATGCCTTCAATATTGATTAAAGTTATTAATTAAGAATAAATACATTTAGAATTAATTAAGAATAAATTAAATAATATTTAATTAAGAATAACTTTTTAAGGCCATAGGGAAGCTACAATAACCCCATGCACATGTACACACAGACTCATTTCCACAATTGTTTTTTTATATGTAGTGCTTTCTTGGGTTAGAATATAGAGCCCCAAACAGGCTAGTCAAGTCATCTACAAATGAACTATGTGCCTAGCTCATTAATCTCATCATATCTGGAGAACTAGCATGATATGGTTAAGTTTGCCTGCTTGTCTTCCTCATAATAGTACTACACCATACTCGGTTTAGCTTATTCCTGGCTCAGCAGTTAAGCACACTGATTGCTTCTCCAGAAGAGTCCTGTATTTGATTCCCATCACCCATATGAAAACTTATAACCAAAGCCCGTGATATCTGACACCTTCTTTTAGGGGAACTGCACACAAATAATGCATGGACATATATGCAGGAAAGACATACATGCATACAAATAAGTATCAAGCAGTTCTTCTGAGTATGGTGCCACTAACTTCCACAGCTGTCTGCACTGATGACCACAATGCCAAGCATTTGGATGGTACCATAACTGATATATTAGTCACCTTAAGGCAAGTGAGTATAAACAGGATTTTGTTAAAAAGATTTGAGATGATAATGGGGGCTACATTGGACTGACCTAGAAAATGATCTTAATTATGGGCTAACGCTCAGGTGAAAGACAGGGTTACAACTAGGTCTTTGTCAAGAATTATCTTAACCTCTTTCTTTTTAAAAGCTAATTAAATGGAAGTGCTATTGAACCTGACACTAAATATGCTGAGAAAAAAAGGAAAATCATAGTTATAAAAAGGGACTGATAAGAAGCCTGTGTAGAAGATAATTTTAACTAAGGAATTTAGGACAAACAAAACTCACATTTCATAAAATGAACAAAATTGTTTTGCTGTGAGTGTAGTAGAGTAATAATAGGATGGGAGCGCAATTCAACAGACAAAGGGTAGCTTCACATTTTTCTCACTAATTGCCCATACAATTGCAGTGAGAACAAAATTTTCATGTAACTGTTTTTTGGACCAGATATTTTCTTTGTTACAAAAATGTTTTCTTTCTTTTGGAAGATGTCTACATCAAGGAACACATTATAAGAAGTAAAACTTAATTTCATAATTGGATACAGATTTCTTCCCCTTGTTTCATTTATGAATTTGTAGTATCATATCTCTATAAAATGGGGTATTATATTAACTTCATGAATGGATCAGTCAATTAATAGATAATTTCCTTAATTATTGTTTTGAGAACTTACATTAAAATGAATACAGAATATATTAAGGAAGGTTGAAATAAACTAAATACTGTGAAGAAGCATTATTGTTTGCTTACATTATAATCAAAATGCTTGAATATAAGTAGAAATGCAGATATACACAGATCTGAAGGCTAGATAATGTCAAATGATATTATTTGAATGGAAAAAAATTCTGCCTAGTGAATTTTCAGTCTTTGGGAAGCAGGTATGATTTTGCTTTGTTGACACCCATAGCCCAGTAATTACATTCTGACTGGTGGATAAAAACCATCAAGTGTTAAAGTTATTCCTGCAGCAAAGTCAATAGAAGGTAAGTATCGAGAAAGCTGAAGAGCTCATGTACAACCATAGGGGACTAAGCAGAAGATTAGCTAGTGTAAACACCTTCAATTGACAATTACAAACATACACTGGATATGAGTTCCTCAGTGGGAACACTGGAAATGAAAGACAGGGAGAAGCAACCTTTAAAAACTTGTTTGGAGGGAGAAAACATGCCTCATTTGCTGAACATAATCCCTGCTATCCTAGTCACAAGAGTGGCTTTTCACGTAGACACAAAATACAGTTTCTGTAACTGTATAGATCCTTCTTACTAGAATTCTAGTAAGTCTCAAATTCTCAAAGTCATTTGAGAATTGACAGAGGGGTGAGGAAGAGGAATCCAGATGTGAAGTTGGTAATTCAGAGATCATTTGGAGACTCAGTGGAACTGTACTTCAAAACAACAAACTGCCAGAGTAGACTACATGGCAAACAGCACAAACAGGCTTGGGTCAATTTAGTAAATAAAGTGAAAATATATTTGTCAGTATATAAGTAATTAACAAGCACAATCATTTTTAAATTAATATCAAAAGCAAAGGAAACCCAGGAAAACTTTAAACAAATGTACTCGTAGAGCAGCAAAGTCAGAAGCACAGTTCAAAATGGAGCGGAGGTAGAGGGTGGCCCTCTGCAAGCGCAAGGAAGAGAATTTGCTTTGTTTTGATTTTCAAAGTTTAGTAGAATGGGAAATTGTCAAAAATGTGTGTGGGGTGTGTGTGTGTGTGTGTGTGTGTGTGTGAGAGAGAGAGAGAGAGAGAGAGAGAGAGAGAGAGAGAGACAGAGAGAGACAGAGAGAGACAGAGAGGTAGAGGGGAGTATATGTAGGTGTCTATGTCTGAATATTTGTGCTGAGAATTTTTAAATAATATGTTTTACTTTCACTGTATTGTCCTATGAATAAGAAAGGCAGATGCAAAATTACCTCCACTCTACGTAGACCGACTCTTGTTCCATTTTCTCTCCTTTCTTCTATTCAGTTACTTTTGGATTTAGGAAGAAAAAGCCTGAGATGTAGCTTTTACACATCGAAGAAAATATTTTCTTTTCTTTTACTATATAGACAGGAAATGTCACTGTGCTAAGTGTATTAACTTGAAAATTTAGGAGGAGGAAATGTGGCACAAGAATAAGACTGTTTTTTTTTTTTTTCCCTCTTCTCAGACTGGGTAGCTTGCATGTGCTGTGGAGGGGAGAACATGCTTTTGGTACTTGGGGGATGATGTGTGGCTGTGGGATTTGAAGAAACACACCTGAACTTTTGACTTTGAAGTCTGTTTCCTTGGCTTTTAGGATACTTAAAGTCTTACTTTAAACAAACAGTTGAGTTTCCTTACCTATGCACCTGTATTAACTTTTGTCACCAATTGCTTATAATCTACTCTTTTACCACACATCTTATTTTAGAACAATGTAACACATTTTTAATATCACTATCAAAGAAAAGGTGAAAGTTGTACATGAGTAGCATCTCCTTCTCCTGGCCTCTTAGATCTTGTTTGCTCATTTGCCATTAACTTACTTATTATATTAATATATAAGTGCCTACAATTTAAATTTTCTTGCCTTAGGGAAAAAGCCTTCTTTTATGTTGTTTTGTCAACTTTATTTTCTATATTTTGAAGCCTTTTGTTTCCATTTATGATGTGTGTGTAGAGGTCAACTTTGTGGAAATTGTTGTGTTCTTCCCCCTATGACCTGGATTCTGAGGATCAAACTCAAGCTGCTAGACTAACATGAGAAAGACTTTTGCCTGATCATCAATCTTACTGGCCCAACACTTTTATTTTTTTAGGTTTTATCATATTTATTTTTGATTATCTAATAAAAATTCATGCAATTACTTTTAAGAAATATAAGGCATCTTTCTATGAGAGATGAAAAAATAGCAAAAAAAGTTGCTCCATTTTGGGAAAAAAAAGAGACTGATCTTTCAATAAGTAGATAAATATAAATGTCAGGATATGTATATGAATCCATATTGATTTAAAACGGTAATAGTGAGCCCAGTGCCACTTGTTATGAAAGAAAATTGTTAATGAGTAGCTTTCCTATGTTGTAAAACAGATGCGGAATTGGGATTCAGTCTAGTAATGCAGTCACCAGTAAACCTGGTAGGCAGGGAGAAAGTTCAAAAAGGAGGGAGAAAAGAAGAAAATAAAGGAGGAAAGAACCAGCAGTGTAATGCCGAATTTACACATGTGGCATCTGTGATCAAAATTTCTAAAACGTGGTAGGTCTTTATATTTGTCCTGCATTATAATTTGGGCAAGAAAAATCAGGTGAGCATAAAAAAACAGAGATTGAAAATCTAGAATAATTATTTTGCAAAAAAAAAAATTATAGGCACTAGAAGTAAAATGAGAATGCTTTGTGGAAAATTATACTTAGTCATCTGTGCAATGAAATAATTAAATGTGCGTATGAATACACCTTCTATCTTACAAATGGTGTTTCACACACCAAAACATGGGTCCTAATGGCTTTTCAGGTTTCATTTTTTCTTGGAATTTTTCTGAATTTCTCTGAACATCACTTCAGGATTGCTCGATTTTTTCAGAATTGATGATCATTTGGGTAAAACTTAGAGTACAGTGAAAATACAAACATGAACCTGTAAGTATAAATCTTTAGTTTATTTCTTCCATTCAGCAGAGAAATATGAAACAAATTTGACTGAAGCGAGGACATGAAAGGACATGAAAACAAGTATGAACACTCTTGGAAAACAGGATACATTTCTTCCTACGACCAACAAAATACCAATTTTCAATTGTCTGGAAATAGGGAGGTGATAAATTTTGTTACATGTTCCAAAGCCACAGGAAACTAGCCATTCATATGATGGCACCATGATGGGAATTTCTGAGTTATTTTTCCTTGGTTAAGGTTACCAGCTATTTGTCCAAAATACTATCTCTGACTGCTTTTGAAAGTTTTTTTTTTTTATGTTGCTACCGTAAATTACAACAGTTTTGAATGACTCAAGCTAGCTACTATAACATGGTTGAGTGTCACACAATCACGTGAGAGCTTAAGAGAACACATTTGCTTCCTCAACAACAGTCTTGGTCTCCTGAATGGCAAGCTTGACGCTGGAGTGTCACCTTGCCCCTGATCGCTAGCTTCCTGTCTGCTGTGCAGATTTAAAACTAATCACACCTCTAATAGTACAGGAGCTAATTCTGTATAAGTGGCCATTTTCTCTTTCACCTGCCCTTCTAGCCTATCTGCTCTTTCTCTGGACAAAATGATGAACTACAAATCCATGAGGCAGATTTGTGCAGACCTGAGTGCTTAGTGTCTGGACATGCGTGTTGATGCTGGCCTTGCAGTGTAGCTAGAGTCTCCCTAAGGCCAGAGAAGTGCTTATCTTTTTTATTATGGAGTTTTTATTAGGAGTTCTGTGACCAAACTAATTTTGATATTTTACGCTTAAATTATAAGCAAATTTATATAAATTTAAATTACATAAAATTTATACCTAATAGTAAATATATGACTAATTATGATATAGAGAATCAGCAATGATTTATTAAGACTTTGGGTTCTTTTACCCCAATTTTAGTATTATATGTATTTATAGCTATTTTTATATCTTAGAAAAATTGAGGATTTTATATTAAATTGGCAAGTGCTTACAGATATAAAATGTTCTGCGTATCAAGGAAAGTACATCTCTGACACACAAAAACAAGACCTCTCCTTTGTTATGTGAGGTTTATACTCCTTCACCCTTTTAAGAGGTTCTGCATTTTAGAGTCTTGTGACCAATTTATTAATCACAGTCCTTGTATTGTCCTGGTTTCTGACTGAATGTACCTTATATCAACAAGTCGTTCTGAATTTTCCCAGCTGAAACAATCTCTAACAGTTTATTTCTTTTTATCTGTACCTATCTCAACTTAAATTCAATTTCAAGTTTTAATTAAGCCCAGATTCATATCTAAGAGGCTTCCATTGTTGTCCTCTTGAAGCAAACAAATTGAAAGATCACAGTAACTAAACTGTCAAACATTGCTTGCTGAACAAGTTATCAAATTAATATGCATGATACATTGTGAAATTTGCAAGCACTATTCACAGAAATAAACAGACCCCAGAGCCAAATGATTCACATTTGAAGCAAGGATTCATGAGGATTTATTGATTATCTTGATTGATTGATTGTCACACGACCTCCATGAAAATTTGAGAAAATAAGGCCATCAAAATATTTTATCTATTGTGATAGTCTCAAGAAGCTTTTGTTTTTACAATAATTTAGCAAAATATATTTTATATCTGTGAAATGTTTACTAACACTTATATAATATGAGTTTATAATAATAAACTCATCTCTTTGCCTGCGTTTATCTTTCTTTTAGTTTACTGCTGACCATGGTTTAATTTAGACTTTTATTTTAGTCATGTGATCAGGTAGTTTGAGTAAATGTTAATATGAATGTAGACAGACAAGATCAGGATCAATCCAACTACACAATAAAGTTTTGCATCTGTATCAATTGCTTAGGACAATTATGCCTTTTGCATTTTTTCCATTCCAAAAGCAAATAGAACCCCACCTTCAATACTGCATTAACCAATATTTATAAGTGTGAGATGAGGTACACAGCTGCAATATGCAATTTTGGTTACTGTAGTAATATACATTTATGGTTTTCCTGTCTACCTTATAAATCAAAGTAGCACACTTTTCACATTTATTTCTTTTGTTGGTTAAATTTCAAGGAGACAGTAAAATTGTCATGTCATGTCAGCCTCAAGTATTAAATGTACTGTTCCTCTCTCAAAATGTTTCTTCTAGAAGGTATTGTACTTGTTCTGAGTCAATAGAAATTCAATTTCAAGTTTTTTTTTCTTATTTTTATGTAGATGATTATAACCTTTAAATAGGAACATGAAGTACAAGAACAGAGTTTGATCATTTTCTGGAAATTACTCTACTATGAATGAGTAAACAAAATTGGATTTTTTGATTACAAGTAAAATGGCACAGACTTTAATAACCTTCTTATCTCAGCAAGGCATTTATTAAGGATTTGCAGTTTAAAGGGGCTTGGGACTATAGCTCCTGCGAGGCTTTGTGAAGGACAACTTATCAAGAAATGTGCTCTGCATTTCTTTCTTTTGATCATAGATTAATTGTGAGTAGATCCTTTCACTTTTCTTTAATATTTTATCTTTAGGGAAATCTGACCTGTTAGAAATCATAATCCCTCCAACAGCTGTGAGAACATTAGAATTATGTATTATAAAACACATTTCCGTGCAGAACATATGGCTGTGCAGGCAGAAAGATCTGTATTTTTGGCCCAGGTTTGGAATTAATACATTCCTTGAGCTGCTGAATGGTGTTCATGATGTTTGCAAAATTCTATTACTAGAAATATAATTCTTAAATGCTGCTTCTGATGCTATCAAAGGAATTTGAAATTAAGTATGCTTAAGTGTCATGCTGCTCTTTATACTAGCCATTGTTCATTTTTTCCAAGACCACAATCCTGCCTACTTTCTTATGAAATTTCTGCTATATTTCCCCTATTCAAATATATGATTTGACTCAGCTGAACAACATTGGTTATACTCTCTTTTCAACCTGACAGACCCTTCTCTCTGTTCATATTTATTGTTACAAAACAACTTTCTATCATTGGCAAAGTCAATGTTGGGCTTAAAGGAGTTAATGATTTGAATAAGTAGAGAGCACATTTAAATAAATCTCATTATCTCCAATATTTCTTAAGTGCCATTGGTCCTGACAAGGAAGTGAGAAAAGGTGTTAAAGATAAGATATGTCCATGTATTTTCCATAAGAGTCAAGCATCAGTCAGGTCAGTAACATTAGCCTTACTAAACAAATACAGAGATTATGTAGCATGCCGCTGATAATATTCATTAAATGATTAAGAATCTATGCCACAAGTGTGTGATAAAATGAAGTTTCTTTCTCAATTTATCTCTATATTTTAGTAACCAAATAATAAATATTCTTGCAGCAATCTAGGATTTGATCCAACTTCCCTACTGATAAGTTGAATCTCAGACTGTTTACTCATTAGTCTCCCTGGATTAAAAAATAGATATTAAATATTCATTAACCAAACTCACAGTCATGCTTCCATTTCTTTTGGTAAATATTTCCTTTCAGGCCAATTGACCAATTGCAAGTATCATATCACGAAAGACAACTCAATCTTCTCTGTTATGTGTAGCCAATATAGTACTTCATAATTTTAAACATTTTTCCTTCCTCTTTTAATGTCTAAGTTAAGCATGCAAGCAAACAGTCACACAGAGACGACATTTTTTTTCAGTTCCTTTATTCTGTACCACATATTATTGTTCTTCCCTTAAGTTTTGTGGCAAGTTTTAATGCTTATAAGATTGTAGGCATTTCATCAGGACACAGATGTGGGTAATTCTTGATCTCAGGCCTCTTTCTTAACTGCACGACTTGCTCCTTTCTGTGAACAGAGTTTTGAGACCTAGGTCCTTGCTATGAGAACTGGAATATGAATGCAAGGTTTAGCTTTGTAAATGTCCATTGGAAATTAAGATCTCTAATATGGGGAAGAGTTCTTTACCTTTTATCATTTGATATTTTTGGAAAACATTTATTAATGTGACAATTACTTCACAAAGTGTTGGAAGGTTTTAACAACAGGATAGCATACAGAACCATTATTGTAATCTTTAGCACATTATAATTGTTTAGCTGGTTCCTTTTGTGGTCGATATGAGACATTAAACACTACTGTCCAGATATTTAACACTGATGTCTTGAAATGATGGTAATCTAATACTCAGACTAAAGACATTTTTAGTGGTTTTAGATAATTTGATGGATAGTTACCCTTTGATTTTGGACACGTTTATGGAGGTATATTGTAAATATAATCAAATTTATCAATGTTAACAATAAAACAGTTACTAATTGCTAAAATTGATGAATTATGAAACTTAAAAACAGCATAAAAGGTTAAAGGAGAGAAGGCATCTAGAATTTCTGAATTTTGTTTTATATGAGTCACTTGAAATAATTTGAAAAGAAGTTTAAAGTACCAGAATTATTTTTTTCCCAAGAATGAATCTAATTGCTAACAACTTGTAGGAAATTTGCACTAAAAAATTTCAATTTCTAAGGAAAACATCTAAAATGATAGCATCATTAATGTCATTATCTTTCAATCTTGTAGGAGTATACCATAGATATAATTTTTGCCCAAACCTGGTTTGACAGCCGCTTAAAGTTCAATAGCACCATGAAAGTGCTTATGCTTAACAGCAACATGGTGGGGAAAATCTGGATTCCTGACACATTCTTCAGAAACTCAAGAAAATCTGATGCACATTGGATAACAACACCTAATCGCCTGCTGCGTATTTGGAGTGATGGAAGAGTTCTATACACTCTACGGTAATATTTATACGAATTGAGGTTGTATTTTCAGCTCTTAAAAAGCCTTCTTCACACCAGCAGAGTAGGACATAGGGGCATCTTTCATTTGTTAAAATCTAACCTGGTGAACTATTTGGTGATATATTTTTATATTCGGAGTTACTATCAAAAAAATGACGGGAAAAATATTTGGTCTTCCTACTTGGAAGCAAGAAAGGTTTTGACTCATATTTTAAATTTTATTCATTTATTAATTTGATGATGTTTTAAATATTTTATTTTGTATGTACATAAATTTTGTTTGCTTTTTCACTACACACATACCTTGTGAAAACCAGAAGAGAAACTTGGATCCCCTGAAACTGGAGTCACAGATGGTTGTGAGTCACTCTGTGGGTAATGGGAACCAAAACAGGTCCTCTGCAAGATCAGTGAGTGTTTAAATCCTGATTCTACTCAGCCATGGTTAATATTTATAAGTGTATAATTTAAATTCCTGTGATTTTTCCCTTGTAATTTATTATTATTTTGATTTTTAGCACTGTTGTGAAACATCACCATTAAATGATTGATCCTTCAGTTCAAATCTACCTAATTTATCCCTGTCAAAATATACGCTTATTAAAAATTACTACCTTGTTTTTACTTTTTAAATTTTATTTAGAGTTACATTTCTCCCTTTTTTATCCTCTCTCCAAACCTTTCCATCTAAATCTCCCAGTTCTCCTTCAAATACTAGGCTTCTTTCTTTACTAATTGTTATTGCATACATATATTTGTGTGTGTCTCTATGTATATGTGTATATAAATATGCATATACATATACACTTTTTAAATATAGCATGCTCAGTATATATAGTGTTATATATGTTTTTAGGGATAAGCACTTGGCATTGGACAACCAATGAGTGTAATGTTTTCTGGGAAGAAAAACTCTCATGCGCCCATCTTTTCCTTGTAGTCTGTAGGTCTTTGTGTTTTCTATTTCTACTTTGGCATGTTCAATGGTGTCATCCTTGAAGATTATCATGCTAAATTCAGAGAAAAAAATCATGCATAGCCTTGTATAATGTATTACTTATTGTGTGGCTTTTAACATATTAATTTCATATATATGTTATATATATATAATTCATGAAACTGCAGAAGCTTTATTTTTAATACAAATGCAGAGATTGACATATACAAAGTAGATACTTAGTTGTCTGAAGAAATGTTTGAATTTCCTACTCAGTAGTGAATGATGTAATATTTAGTATTAAATTTAAGGTTATCTTTGTATTTTATTAGATTATAGTCCATTATAGGTTGCCCAAATGATGTTTTAAAATCAGATGAGTAGTTTTTAAAGACTTTAACAACTCTTCTTTGTGCAATACTTATTTTTTTCTTCTAAATAGATTAACAATTAATGCAGAGTGCTATCTTCAACTTCATAACTTTCCTATGGATGAACATTCCTGTCCACTGGAATTTTCAAGCTGTAAGTGAAAGCAATGATAATCCTAGAAATTTGGGCTTAAACATACTTTATTAGCTTATAGAATGAAATAAAATGTGAGCTTAGAAATATGTTGATTGTTATTCCACTTTTAAGTTTAATAAATGTAAGTACTAGATTTGTTTATTGATTTTAAATTTTAAAAAAATGAAAGCTTTTTAGTGAATATACATATTGCAAAATAATCTTTTTAACTCAGTTTTATTTCAATGCCTTTTACTTTATTTTTCTACTTTGTTTTGTTGAAAATTGATTTTTCTGCATTGTATTCTAATTACAATCTTGATTTTCTCAACTCCTCCTAAGTGCTTACTACCTCCAGTCCCGCTTGAGTCACACCCATTCTGTCTCTTCTTGGAAAACAAACAGGTGTCTAAAGAATACCATATAAAGATAACATGAATAAACTGGAGTAGAAAAAGTAAACTAACATTCCCTTTTCTCATTCTAAATACTCATATGGGCTGTGAATCTAGGCTTGCATTCATTCAAATGATTTTACACAACTAGAATAAAAAACTCTGAAACTATATCAATCTTCCTGATGTAATATTTCACTTTATTAGATTTTAAAGTAGGTTTCAAAAATTGGTTGAGGAAAAAGTGTTTGCTTTTATAAATGATTTCAAATAGGAAAGGAATTTAGCCACTGGAATTCACATAAGAAATTATAAGCAGAAAGGTAGGCTTACAATCAACTCAGATATGAGTATATTTTAAAAACACATTGAATTCCTGTGTTGTTTTTGACAATATTTTGGGGATTAAATAGTAACTACCAGGTCACAGTAATTATAGCACACTTGAGTCTGAGATGGTTACCATGTTCCAGGTAAATAATAATAGAGACAATCTGAGATTTATGAATCAAGACACTAGGACAACATCAAACTTCCTCTCTCTCAAACTCCTCAGTGCAAAAACGAAACTCATACTTGTGATCATCATAAGAGCTATATAATTCTTTAAAGCACACACATACCACGCACACATACACGCTTCAGTTAGTATTTTCTGTATTTGACAAACTTTATAGTATTGATTGAGAGAAGGATCACAAATACTCATTGTTTGGATGGTGTTGGTATTGCAATGATAATATTTTAAATTTTTCTAAACTACATATATTTTACTACAATTTTTTCTCCAGATGGATATCCTAAAAATGAAATTGAGTACAAGTGGAAAAAGCCCTCTGTGGAAGTGGCTGATCCTAAGTACTGGAGGTTATACCAGTTTGCATTTGTAGGATTACGAAATTCAACTGAAATCTCTCACACAATCTCTGGTAAGGAGGAAACAGAAGCTGACATTGTTATTTAGGTATGGAAGGCAGAATGTAGATTTTTCTATGTTTTACTCACTAACATATCTATTTCTTATAGGAGATTATATTATTATGACAATCTTCTTTGACCTGAGCAGGAGGATGGGCTATTTCACCATCCAGACCTACATCCCATGCATTCTAACAGTTGTTCTTTCTTGGGTTTCCTTTTGGATCAATAAAGATGCAGTACCAGCCAGAACATCACTGGGTAAGACTGTGCTGCTATAGCACAAGCTCTTAAAAATTAATAAATAAAACTTCATTGATGCATATTTTAGAACTATCCTCTAGACTATAATGAGGTAATAATGGATTAAAAATTTAGTATTATACAAAATTGAAAGGACTTCAAATAGTATAGGATTTTACATAGTAAAGAACTTGGAATTTGAAAACTCATATTTTACCCGTAAACAGGACTAAATATTTACACACGCGCGCGCGCACACACACACACACACACACACACACAATGTGTGTGTGTTTAAGAATTAACACATAAAAAGCAGAGAAGGGAAAATATCTGAATCTCATTTGCTAAATATTTTGATTGCCTTACAACGAATATTGACGATGTTTTAGCAGGATCACAAATCATCAGCGTTTAATTTACTGGTTAATACTAGAATTGCAAATTGATGGCCAGCTGTTCCAAAAGACAGATATCTGGATAGAACAAGAGCTTCCTGATTTCTAAAACATCAAAAGCAGTGAAACTAATCTGTTCCTTTTAGAGGTTCTTATACAATGCCAATGTTTACAAGAGTAATTTTGGCTTCATCCTTTAAAAGGTTGATAATGATCTTTCTATAATAGTGTACCATAATGATCACAATATATAGTAAACAAATGGCTGATTTTATACATGTTTTAACAAAGTGACAATCTATAGTCTCTTCAATATTATACAAGAAAAGCTTATTAATAATTGATTCATATTCAGAATAAAGATTCAATCACATTGTGATTATAATTTTATCTAAAAATGTAAAGTTAGATGAGTTTTATTTTTAATGATTAATAGGTTTTCCTGTAGTTTCTATGATAGCTGGAAAAAAAATGTTCATTCAATTAACATTGTAGATTTAAAATCACATAAATAGGTCAGTAGTAGATCCTGAAATATTAAGTATCCTAAAAAAATTGTGGAGTCTACCATAGGTATAGAGTAAGTGAGTGAACAAAATCTATCTATCTATCTATCTATCTATCTATCTATCTATCTCTATATATATATATAAATTTTATTTACTCTATCCTTTAAGATATTTTATGTTTCTCATTAAAAAATTTATTGAAACTTATTTGTATTATAATAAAATTTTAGCTTAGGAACTGGGGATACTGATGATAATAATCTATAGGCATAAGAATAAATCATTATCCTGTTTTTCTTAATATCACACAGCAAATAAATGAATGTAAGAAGTGGAGATTTAGAATTGAACTTAAATTTACATCCATTCTTCAAAACCTTTGCATTTGTATTATTTTTTTCTTTCTAACACTAATTATCCATGGGATAATAATGATGAGGTTCTCTGAGAATTATTTCAGCATATTCTAGTGGGCACATGAGAAAACATGATCCCCAAATTGCTCCTCCTATACTAAAGATTTTTTGTAGCCATTTATTTAAATTAAATTACATTCATATTTACAAATACATATTTATTTAGCACTATACTTAGAATATTTAAAAATATTAAACATTCAATTCACAGAGCTATGGTTGTGGCAATAAAGAATAAGAATGGAGTTGGGGGTAGCTGGAGAGGTAGCTTGGTGGTTTGGAGCACATGCAGCTCTTGTAAGGAGCCAGATTTGGTTTCCAGCACACATATGGTGACTCACAACCATCTCTAACTATAGTTCCAGGGGTTTCAATCCTGTCTTGCAGCTTCTTGCAATGTATCCATGTGGCACATATACAAATATAATTATTTAAGTGCTTTTGTTTATGAGTGTACAAGCACTTAAATAATAATATTTGTAGAAGAATGAAAAACACAAAAAATATAGAGCTTCTTATTTAAATGACTTAAGACTAACAATGGCGAGAATAATGAGATGACTATTACATAAAGGGAGAGATAAAGGAGTCCAAAGATGGACGCATGGACTTGGCTTTGACATGTATCAGAATTGCACATACTAAAATTTTAAAAATATAAAAATTCATTAAGTGTATTTGAAATGCAAAATATATTGTTATAATTCTGCATCCTTAAATTTGAAGTTTTTAAACTAAGTTCAAATTATCACAAAAGAAAACAATACATTAATACATTAGTTAGGCTACTCTTACTGAATGAGGCAAACAAAAAAAAATAAACATACAAAATAAACACAACAAAAAAAACCCTCCAATAACTGTTCCTTCAAGTAATTTGAAAACTACTGGCTTCTACTGCACGGGTTCATAAGTGCTCACTATGGTATCATATACTGTGGAGAAAAGGATTCAGAGACTTTTGGTTCTTGGCTGTGTAGGGTGTATGTGTGGTTCGTGACTTGAATTTCCATAGCCATCTCATCGTTCAAGGTGGCTGCTGGCTTATTATCATAGCATTGCAGTAGAAAGAAGAGGGGGGAATAAAGCAAGGCATCTCTCACATTGTGGTGTCTTCTAGACTTTAAATCTTGGCTTAGTTCCCCTGGTACAATCTTACCTTCTGATCACACTCTGCTTCAGAGACGTGCCCAGTGAAATTGTACTTTAAGAAAACCTCCTGCCAGCCCAGCAAGTGGTGGCACACGCTTTAATTCCAGCACTTAGGAGGCAAAGACAGGAGGATCTCTGTGAGTTCGAGACCAGCCTGGTCTACAAGAGCTAGTTCCAGGAAAAGTTCCAAAGCTACAGAGAAACCCTGTCTCAAAAAGCCAAAAAGAGAAAGAAAGAAAAGAGAAAACCTCCTGTCAACTAAAAATGTTTATTTTTTTAACCATGGAGAAGCGAAGAGTGAATATTAGGAGCCACCCTGAAATCCATAGTGATTTGAATCATTAAACTTTCCTACACAAAGAACACAGTGAAAATAATGTAGCCATGGTTACTAGTAATTCTTTCTGGCAATCATATCCTTTTGTTTCCATTGTTTATTTCAGCTGACATTATTGTTAAATTAGAAGAAATGAATAAAAATGTTCTGCTAAATTACTTGTAATCATCTATTATTTTCCCTTTTCTTCACAGGTATCACTACAGTCTTGACTATGACAACCCTCAGTACAATTGCCAGGAAATCTTTACCTAAGGTTTCTTACGTGACAGCAATGGATCTTTTTGTCTCTGTTTGTTTTATTTTTGTGTTTGCAGCACTGATGGAATATGGAACCTTGCATTATTTTACCAGCAATAATAAAGGAAAAACCACCAGAGACAGGAAGCATAAAAACAGAACTTCGGTATGTTTTATTTTTATTCCTTTTTAATAGTAATATTTTTGAGAATTTCATACATGAATGTTGTATTTACATCACTGTCTCCCTTTCCCTTCTTCACTCTCCTCTCTTCCTTCCAAATTCACAATCTCTTCTTTAATATTATCATTACACATACATACGTGTGGGATATAATAAGGTGTAAGAGTTGGGACCTTGTAGCATTACTTGTGTTTGTTTTGGCTTGTCAACCTGGGTTGTCATGATGATCTTGTTAAGACAAGTAGGTTGTTGGTAATTCATAGGTGTATTTCCTTGTTATGTCTAGGGGCCATGGTCTATTCACAGCTATCCTTAGCCACTGTCTAGTATAATGTTTCCGTCCCCTCTTCCATGAATTTCACTTAGCCTCAGGTTTAGGAGTTGTGCTGCATGTATATCACTTGGGGTTGCATATACCACAGTCACTCATTTTCTGAATTTGTATTATGTATATCAATATAATGGTCTGCATCTCTTGCAAAAAGAAGTTTCTTTGATAAGCAGTGAGAGTTACTCTTATCTGTTGTTATAAGGATAGGTATTTTGAAAATGGTTGGAAAGCTACCCACTGACATAAGAAGCTTCTCTGGCAAAAGTTGGGACCAGCCCAAATCTACAGATATAACTACTTATAAGGCAGCTTGATAACATGACCATTAGCAGAACATCAATAGGATAGGTTTTTTTCTCTATAGTCTAATTCTTCCCTAGCCATGATTTTGATCTTGATTCCAATGCCCCTCCCATGAATCAAGTCTCAAGTCCAGTCAAGGGAGCAATTGTATAGATAGAATTATATTATTGTACAGTGTACAGATCCTGTTTAGCAGGTCAGAAATAGAGCTACATAACATCACTGATATCCTTTTTTCCCCCACTAGTTTGCATAACACCTTGCAATGCTATGAAAAATAGGTAGCAGGTAGAGTTTCCTGGCTAGCTCAGGAGTGATTTGTTTTATAAATGTCACCAATGTATATGGTTTCTTCAGCAGCAGGATCTAGTTATGGTGAACAACCTAGAGTGATGGCAAAGTACTGTATTGTTTGGGATGGTACTGAGACATCCCTAACGAAAACTCTTAGGGAGATAACCCCATTTCTCCAAGGTTTTCTTTTAACAACCTGTCTCTTCTTGGAATAGTATTTTCCACTACTGCAGAGTACTTCTTTTAACATTCCTTTAAAAAATATTATAAATTAGCTTACAAATTATTGGGTTTCATGGGTCTTCTTTGTACATCCTTAGTTTTGGTTAGTCCGTCATCTATACCTCTCCGCAAGTCTTTGTTTTAGTAACTGGTCTATTCCTGTGAAGAGACACCATGACTAATGTAATTTTTGTGAATGAAAACATTTAGTTGGGGGGTTGCTTAGAATTTCCGAGGTTTACTCCATGCTTATCCTGGCAGGGAACAGACAGGTATGGCACTGGAGCAGTTGCTGAGGGCTTTACATACTGATTAACAGGCATCAGACTCTCTCTCTCTCTCTCTCTCTCTCTCTCTCTCTCTCTCTCTCTCTCTCACACACACACACACACACACACATACAGAGATGGAAAGACAGTCAGACAGAGATTTGGACTAACATGGCTCTTGAAGCCATGCCCATTGTCTTTCCAAACAAAGTCACACTTGCTAATCCTTTCTAAAAGGCCAACTGAGAAGGAAACATTCAAATCTATGAGCCTATGGTCCGTTCTTATTCAGGCCACTACAATTCCCCATTCCCACTTAATCCTTTATTGTCCCTGTGTAACCTCATAGTACATGTTTTCTGTTATCCTCTCTTGCTGGATTTTTACTTGAATTACAAGATCATAGGTTCCCAATATGCTGTTCATGCATGCTTTGTTTTGGTTAAGTCTTCCCATGGGCCATATTGCCTACAATCCCCATTACTCCACTAAGTACTTCAGTGTTTCTGCCCCAAGAATTCACCTTCTCTATTTTCAATTCAAATGTATTCCGAAACACCCTTCTCTAAATGCACCTCCTCCACCAAAGCCCTCTTCATGTTTCGTAGTCTCCACATATGATGTATGTTACACGTAGAGAGAAAAATAATTGAGGACAAATATGCAAAAATTTTCAGTAGGGACCTATGTGGCTTCAATGTATAACACCTTTAGCTCCATCATCTGCCTGCAAATTTCATCATTCTACTTCCTTTATAATTAATATTCCATTGCATATATGTACCACATTATTCACATTTCATGTGGCAGTTGACAGATATAAGGGTTGATTCCATTTTCTAGCCACTGTGAATAAAGTAGCAATCCATATGACTGTGCAAGTATCTTTATTGCAAGCTATAAAGTGGTTTCATATGCGTATGTGTAAGAGTGATTTAAACTTGGACATCTGCAGATCTCTTTTTAACATTTGGAGAGGCCTGCCTCCTGGTTTTCTGAGTTGCTGAACTAGTTTATGCTCTCATTAATAATATGTGATGCTGACAAACAAAACCCAAGATTATATGAGAGGACCATTCATCAAGACCAAGAGCTTCATTCTAGAGATCCAGGCATGGTTCAACAAGTGTAAATGCTTTTGGCATAATTACTTCAACATTTCTAAATGACAAAAGTTACAGAGATCTAGGATTGGGGAAGCATGCCTCAACATAATAAAGGTATGTATAGTAAAAATAAAGAGCTAATATTCTTTTAAAGGAAGAAAATCTCATAGCATTTCTACTAAGATCAGAGAAAAGATATGTGTTCTCATCATTTGTATTCAATTAGTACAAGATTCTCTAATGCTACATTCTTTGTCAAAGGTGTAATAGTATCTAAACCTATTTAAGATATATTTTTGAATCTGGTTATGGTTTTTCACACCTGCTATCCCAGCAGTTGAAATGTAGAGGTAGGGAGACTGTCTTGCATGATGAGCTATAAATTAAGACATTGCATTAGTACAACAAAATAAAATATTAATTGATTTCTTTTTCACAAGTATCTGTGGATTTGCAAGAATGAGTGGCACACATAATTAACTCACTTTTAGAGAGTAAGATCTCTTTTAAAACTATAGCCTACCAAGAGTAGAAAGTCGTAGCTCTTACACTTTCTCTAGTTTCTGTACAATTATATACTTTTAATCCACACCCAATCACAATGACTAACATATATTGTATCAAATTATATGTTAAAATTGGTTATAACTCGAATATATGTAACAATTAAATGATTGACTGTAATTTAAGTTTATAATAGCATTATAGCAACCTGAATGCAATGTCTAACATTCATTGAGGGTTCCAGACAGATCTGAGCATTTCACATGCTTTCATTTGTGCTCAAAGAAACCCTACAAATGCAAGTTCATCGACTTTCACAAGGCAGCTTTGTCAGTGATAGATCCAAGATTCATGCTCAGGTCTCTTTGTGAGCTGAGAGCTCCATTTTTTTGAAGCCTTCATTTTAACATTTTATTCTGTTCCAAACACTTAGAAAAGTAGACTTTCATTTCACCAATATTGACAATGTGACAGTATGCTACAGATTTCAGTAAATACATTCAGAACAAATACTCAAATAAAGACAGTGCAAGACATCCATCCTTGACAAACAGCTTGTAAGGCTGCTATAATATGTTTACCATGAGACTCGAGTGATCAAATTTCTTTAAGTTTAGGGACTGAATGGCTTTGTTCTATTTTTTTTTCTTTTTATGATTTTTATTTTAGAAATGTGGATATATCTTAATTCTTTATTTTAAGAGTTAAGGCTAGTAAACTTTGTATTTAGGTCCAATGATGTTCAATGTCAAAGAAGGCATTGCTAGATGTAAAGATCTGAGAATTTGCTTCAAACCACAATTCTGTTACTGTTACAAATTCACAACAATTTAAAAGATCATGTTTATGATTTTATGAACAAAGTACAAAAGAATAATGATTTCCACTTGACTAATTGGTATTAGACTTAATAGATTTAAAATAAATTTTATTATCATGTGAATACAGATGATGTGGAGTGTGTTCTTACTCGTACCAGAGCAAGCATGAGGGGGTCAGATGAAAACACAGCAGGATAGGTTTCCTAATTACATCTATATGTGGATTCCAGAAATAAAACTCATATTTTCTTGTCAACAAGGTAAGGATTTCACCCACTGAGTCATTTTGGTTGCTTGTGCACTGATAAATTTTAAAGAAAGAAACTGAACGTTCTTACTATTTTTTTCTTCACCCAAACCAAACCTCTTCTCTGCTTTCCATCTCATTCTTTAATCCTCATTTTAAAATGTAAATGCCCACACTTGTGTGTAACAATTGTATTTACTTTATTTAATTTTTATAACTTTTGTTAGAGATTCCAAGAATAAAAACAAATGACATTAACACACATGTAATATGTAATGCCATATGAGTTTTAAAGTTTCTTTTATACAGATATGTAACCCAGGTGGATTACTAACTGAAACACACCTTATGGGTGAACAGCTAGCTACCCAGCGCAACCTCAAGTCATAAACTATAGATCACAGCTCCAAGTGTCATGTTGACTCAAGGGAGCTGAAGCATAAAAATGGAAACTTAAAATTATGGTGTTTTTAAACATTAATTTATCAAAATATACTAAGAACTACCCAAAGTCTAGACATAATTTTACTACAGTTATTCAAGAAAAGAATCATGCTTAGTCTGTTAAATTTAGCAACAGTCTCAGCAAATTAAATACTAAAAATGGAAAAGAAACAACAACAAGATGACAGTATTGACGTATTAAATGGCAAATAGCAATAGTTCACAGTTGACATATTAGTTGACTGGAGAGTGTAAAAATATTTTATAGACATTCAGTACAAACTTTATGTGTCTTTCATGCTTCCTGAGATACATATTTCATTAGCTCTTACAACATTAAATGACAATTTGAAAAATTGGGACCAGCAATCAAATTTGTATACCTGCTTGGTTTGTTTTCAGCCATCATGGCCTTACTAATCTAATGCACTGATATAGAGA